TCCCGTGTTCCCGGAAAAACTTATATATTTTTATTTCTGTCTTACAAAGGGAAGTTAACTGGCGCCCAACAACGTGGGGCATGTGTGTTGAAATTATAAAGTAAAGTAAAGAAAAGTTATAAAGAAATAAATAGCCCATCGTTTGCTAAAGAAAAGTGTTGTAAAAATGAATTCGAACTATTAAATTGAAAAACTCGGTGACGGTAATTATGACGTGTGGTGTATGAAAATGCGTATCATACTGGTTAATACGGACCAATGGCACATAGTTAATGGTGATGTCAAGCGTAGGCGGAAAACTCAGTAAAATTGGAAACGATGACCAAAAGGCATCAGGAAACATAATTTTATGTATAAACCAACAGAAATTTTAAACATTAAATCATGTTCATCGTCGGCAGAGGCATGGGAGAAACTTCGAGAAGTACATATGCCAAGTGGACCGTTACAAAAGGTTTCATTATTCAAAAAGTTGCTTGGGTGCAGTTTGTCTGCAAATCAAAGCATGTCGTCTTATCTTACTTCGTTTGTCGAAGTGGTAGATAAATTAGCCGAACTTAGTATTGAATTGAAAGAGGAATTAAAAATTGTTATACTTCTGTCCAATTTTCCTGCTGAGTATGAAAACTTCGTGATAGCTATCGAAACACGTGACCAGTTACCGACGTTTAATGTATTTATAGTCAAGCTTTTAGAAGAAGGTGCTAGAAGGAAACAGCAGATAAATCAAGAGCCGTCGGCGCAAGCGGTCTATACTCGTTTTAAAGATTCAGCGCATAACAACAAATCACTTCCAAATGAAAAAGCAGATGCAAATACAAATGATTTCAAAGGCAAATGTTTTGCTTGTGGTATGTGAGGACATAGGATAGCGCAGTGTACGAAAAAAAGAAAACAGCAAACCAATCAAGGTGTTAGGTAGCACGAAGCAACGACGACAATGAGCTTTCATATGGATAAATATGCTTGGTGCGTCGATAGTGGAGCGACTACTCATATGTGCTGTGATAGAAATATTTTTGTTTCATTTGTCGAAAAACAAGAAAAAGTAATGTTAATGGTATGGTGCAAATAAGGACAAAAGAACTCAAAATAAACTTTTATTCAGTGAGCAAAGCAATGACGTGAGCAAATGCAGTGCTATTTAAAAAGTTTTGTGTTGAAGTAAAAAATTCGAAAGGGACAACTCTATTTTTAATGCGCAAGTGAATAATTCGAAAATTATTTAAACAATATGATGTGGCATAATCGGTATGGTCACATAAACTTTGAAAGTTTAAAGCAAACCGTCGACAATAATTTAGTGCGTGGACTAAATAAAATAGACATTAAGTCTAAGACAAATTGCGATATATGCAATAAATCAAAAATATGTGCAGTTTTCCTAAGAAGTGCGAAAGAGAATTCAAACAATACTTGAACTTCTGCACACAGACGTTTGTGGTCCGATCAACGTAAAATCAGTGGGTGGTGCACGCTATTTTTTTACATTTGCAGACGATTTTTTGCAAATGATTTATGTTAATTATTGTATAAAGGAAAAGAGCGAAGCTGTGCATACAGCTGTGTACATATATACGTAATCGCGCGCCTTCAAAGTTTTTAAAAAATTCTATACTGTACGAGGTATGGTATAATAAAAAGCCGTCGATAAAGCATTTAAGAGTTTTTGGAGAATAAAATGAGTCATGGTAAATTCAGCGCATAGGGCAAAGAGTATGTGTTTGTAGGATACTCTGAAGTTGCAAAAGCTTATCGTTTGTATGACAAAGAAACAAGGCGGGTATTCGACGCGATGTAAAATTTTTTGAAAACAACGACAGTTTCGGTGTGTCCGAATGTAAAAACAGTACTAAAAACGACGAAAATATAGCAACAATAATTACAAGTTTCAACAATAGCAATTAAGAAAAAGATCTGGTTGAAGATTTTCAAAGCTGCACTAAAGAAGATGATGGAATCACAGAAGAGGAAGATGATGAAGCACATGGCGCAAATAGTGAAATGCATCGTGGCGGTGGTAGGCCAACATTTTTTCATACAGGGAAGGTTGGCCATCCCAGAAAAAAAAATCAGAGGTTGAATTATCTTCAGTATGGTGAAAATATAGAAACGGCACGTACCAGAAGCATTAGCAAGCGAATACTCCTTTGATTGGGAGAAATCTATACAAGATGAATATGCGGCGTTAGTTGCAAACAAAACTTGGTCAGCAGAAGAGCTGCCAAAAGGCCAAAAGGTAATTGGTTTAAAGTGGGTTTTTCGTATAAAACGTGATTCAGATGAAAATATCGAAAAGTTCAAGTCGAGATTAGTGGCGAAAGCTTGTAGTCAGCAACTGGGTTTAAATTATTGGGAAACTTTTTCGCCAGTAATTCGATACAAAACGATTCGGATGCTACTTGCAATGGCTGTTGAGAAAGAGTTGCATTTACATCGAATAGGCATCTCAAATGCATAATAGCAATATATCAGAAGAAGTTTATATAAGACAACCGGGAGGTTGCATAGATTGTAAAAATCCTTACAAGGTCCTAAAATTAAATAAAGCTATTTACGGCTTGAACACTCAGGTAGAGAGTGGAACAATACACTTGATTCAGCATTAAAGCGAGCCATGTTTTTGTGTCAAACAACAAGGCAAAGTGTACAGCTACATACGTAGCAGTTTATGTTGATGACTTAATATTAGCATGTCCCAGTGAAGAAGACATTACAAATATAAAACGCAAACTATCGTCAAAGTTTAAGTTGCAAGATGGTAATACATTGAAGTTCTTTCTTGGTTTCGAAATAGAAAGTGAGGGTAAAACAGGTGCAATTTCTGTGTGTCAAAAAAACTATATCAAGGAGTTGTTGAGCGTATACGGTGTGAGCTCATGTCGTCCAGTAAGCACACCCCTTGATCCTGGTTTTCAAATAAGCTGTAACGATAAGAACTGCTCTAAGGTGGACGTAACAAACTATCAGTTGCTAATTGAGTCTTTAATGTATTTGGTCATTTCGAGGCGTCCTGACATAATGCATGCAGTAAGTTCATTGACGCAAAGATATCAAGATCCTCATTCCGAACATGAGGCTGGTGCAAAGCATGTTCTGCGGTACATATCAAAAACTCTAGACTTAAAGCTTCATTATCGCAAAAGTGGTAAATCAGTAGAAGGCTACGCGGATGCAGACTGGGCAAGCAATAATACAGACAGGAAATCATATACCGCCAGCAGCAGCAAAGTAAGCAGTATATCTTCGTCGCTTGATGAAGGAAGTAGGTTGTAGTTCCATAACATGAGCGCTATACAAATTCCGAAGAATCCTGTATTTCATAAGAGAACTAAGCATATAGAAATAAAATATCATTACATTCGAGATGTAAAACATAAAGAAATAGAGTTAGAGTATATTTCTACAAATGAAAATGTGTCTGATATTTTTACTATGCTTGGTCTTAAATATTAAAGTTTAGAAATATATATATATATAATATATTTAACTTGAGAAAGAGTGTTGAAATTATAAAGTAAAGTACAAGTAAAAATATTTCCTAGAAGGGATTTTTTCGAAATATAGATAATATGAATAAGACAACTATGAATACAATATATATGTATGTACATATAGAATTAAATATGAATTTGAGTAACTCTTGACTAAACCATTGAAGTAAAAGTACGTCGTGTTCTTTAAACTGATTCATTCGCGTAAATAATTGTACATCATACCAACAATGTGTTAGTGATATCCCCGGAAAAAAGGGAGAAAATATCAAGTATTCCTAGCCGAGAGGATAATAGCAGTGACGCGTGTCGAATCCGCAAACTTAGCAAACAAGTATCCTCTCGGGAGGAGAAAAGTAAAAACCAAAAAAACTACAACAAATATACCCCAACAGCCACAAAAATGTGTATGAAATATAAAAACCACAAATCAAAAAAACAAAATGACCAAGGGATTTATAAACGTCGAGGGACCCCAGTACCAGAAGGAAAAACGACAAAGCTAAAACGTGAAACTAACCAATATGCTGGACACAATTAATGTAAAAAATATTTTAAACGATTTTTAATTTTTAATTTTTTTACAAAAAGTTACAAAAAATTAATTGTTATTATATAAAAGAAATTGAAATTGAAAAATCAATGAAAATATTTGCAAGCGTTAAAAATTTATTAAATTATTCTTAATGAAGGCTTGACCACCATATTTTAAAACAGCGACTCACCACCACCAGGGGGACTGTCCAGAGCTATGCAGACATAAGGAAGCCTTTTAAGTTGCTGAACCAGAGCGGTATATTTCAAACAGAGATCTTTGCTATTGCGAAAGCCGACGAGGTAGCCTTTAATGCACTAGCAGGCATCTCCATAGTCAACATCTACGTAGAGATCGAGAAGACTGCAGAAAATGTTAAGAGCAAGGTACCAGGGAAACACTTGTCCCGCATTGGAAAGACTACGCTTTAAGCATTTGGGGGTCCCACGCTATGAGACACTGGAAGAGGTATCGATTGTGAGGCCACAGAGTCTACTGAAATTCGCGTCAAGCGCAGGTATCCTAAAGGATGCCTGGCAGGAAGCCTGGCCCATTAGCCTACCAGACTAATCTAACCTAACCTAACTTATATTCATCTTAGCTTAAAAAAATGCTAGTTTCTCATCCTAAACTTTACTCTTAGTTACCAAATTTATAATCGGCAATACTATACTTAAAAAATCCAGCACTTGATGAGAAATATTGGGAATCCGGTTTTCAACTATTAAGGGTTATATTCACTTTTGAAATTGAAAAACCAATTTTTTGGGATCAAGAGAATCCAAAAGTTTTCAAAATGAATCACAGATTATTAAAGTACATTCAATTCTGTAAAAACAATTTTTGCTTGTTTTTTTATTAAATAAAATGCCTCTTCAAAACAAAAATCACAAGAAAACGACGGTCGGTTCTGTGTAATCGGAAAAGACAAAAATTTTTGTCTGCCAAGAATTGCATTATACAAAATTATTTTAAATTAAACAAATATAAACTTTATTGTTCTATACAAAAATTTAATTTAGTTACTTTCTCGTATATGAAAGATACTTAATAGTATTTATATTATAAATAATTACATTTCATTTCGATTGAAATATTTTAAACGACATTATACTTTAAAATTATTTAGGACCCCAATATGCATGTTATCACACCGTTATTATTTATACGAAGTTCGTGAGGAGTTACTTAAACCTTAAAAAATTTACAATTCTACTGATTAACTATTTTTAATTACAATATATAATTTAGAAAAAAACAATAATCCTTCATTAATATTATATATATATACAATTCGCTATTGCATAATATGCTTCGTACGTATATTTATAATAATTACTCTGACCTCAAACAAAAAGAGTTTGTGTTTTGACTGAAAAACGGTTTAATTTCTCTTCTTTTTAATTGTATACTTTGGATTTAAAAAAGGAATAGTTTTATTTATTTTAAGAATTTTTCGACTTCCTCCAAAAAATGATATTTATATATTAAACAACTACATATATACAAGCTTTTCGAATAATTTTTTTAATAATTTTTGTATTAAGAATTTAAGTTAATAAACACTATAGATCTTCTTTAATGTTGTCTGATTCTTCTGTTCTCTCAGCAACATCATTCTTAGTAGATGTAGCTTTTGATATTTTAGTGTTAATTGTCATTTGGTAGTTTTTTGTTGTCGTTTTTGTCGAATCCCTTGCGAGCTGCCAACGTTTAAACTCGATCATTTGCATAATTCTCACGATTACTTTTGGTTTTTCTTTCATAATGTTAGACAGTTTATTGAACTCTTGTGAATACATAAATACAACTGGTATCGTGACATCGTTAGTTCCATCTCCAGACATTGCGAACATTGGTTGCGTCTCCCCGGAAGATCCCGGTACATTATCACAAACAATTAATGCAAGGGCACCCGTTGCTTGGGCCAGACGCGCTTTACTAACAAATGTACAATCTCCTCTTTCGGCAATTAGAATTTTGCCGCTTATTTCAGCTTTGTTTGAGGGTTCCTCACATGCCCGAAAAGGTGTTGCTAAAATCAATTCACCTTCGACAAATCGATCTCCCATTAATTCTGGACTGAAATGTGATGGACCAGCCATCAAAGCACTCCAATCATTGGATTTATCATTTAAGGAATATGCAACTGCCTATAAAATGTAAATAATAAAGATAAAATAAATTAGTTTGCATTTTTGACGATTATCTTAGTTTAAACACTGGTGGTTCCATTATTGACATATATTTTTTTACCATTTAGTTAAATTTATTGATTTGAGGTATTTTTTTTCTCACAACAAAAAAAATTATAATCAAAGCTTTAAGCATTATGCTGGTATACAATTTCATATCCCATTTTATTGTGAAAGTTTAAACTATCTCAAAAACTGTTATATTTTATAGGTAGTATAATTATTTATAATTGTATTTCCTTTAATAAATAAATAAAATATGCTATCTCAAAATGGTGTTGTTCTCACCTGAAGTTGTGCCAGTTGATTCATATTTTGTATTTTGGTCAGCTCCAGCATTTCTTGCATAAACAGTAAACCCATTTCTCCATCATCAGGACTTTTGGCCTGCGAAACAAATAATTTCATATCCATAAAATAAATATCTATAATTTTTAAATCTATCTCTAAATAGTGAGAACGAGAATCTTGTTGCCAGACTAATTACCGCAACAAATGCTTCTCTTAGATTAGAGGTAGAGGAGTTGCGAAGACAGCTACAGGATTTAACACAGTCAACTACAGTCGTTGATTATAAAATAGTCAACTACAGTCGTTGGTTATAAAATAGAATTGATGCATCCACATATCAATTGTGATGAGTCGCTTGAGGCTCGACTCGATTTCGCTTACGTGGACAAGCGACCAGCTCATATTATCGAACAGGAGAAGAGTATTTTGTGACAGGGCAGTTATTCAACTATTGAATACTCGTACTATAATAAGGTTAATGAAAAATTAACCTTACTAATTAGCAAAACGATAAAGACTTACGGATCAGATAGTGCTAAAACTAAAGAATTAAACGCAAAAAATAGGCGGAATGCCTTTCGTATATTTATAACAGGTCTAAATAAAAATTTAGCAAATATATTATTTTCACTATCACCAAGTGATTTGCCAAATGCAAATGCACAAAAACTAGAATCAAACAATATGCGAGCAATTTTCGCATCACAACTCGGCAAAATCCGAATTATTACTCACAGCGTACTAATAACTTTAATAACGGGAATTTAAATAATAATTTACGGTTTCCACAAACCTAACTTCAAAGAAGCTACAATCAAAGGACATTTCAACAAAACATTCAGCCAAGACCTACGCCAATGAATGTCGATCCAAGTATACACGAATGAATATTATAGATAAACGTCCATATGCCAGCGCATAACTAAGTACTCAACCACCAAATAAAATACAAAAAATAAATAATATTAAATAGTATAATTTTTTAAGTCAAAACTAACTCTGCCATATATTTTCCTACAAGACAGGGTTAGTGGCCAAAATTTTAAAATACTTGTGGATACGGGAGCAACAAGTTGCTATATATGGGTGTATGCATTAATTCGGTTTTTTTTCGAAAGTTAAGACTTTATTGTGAAAAAATTGTTATACATTTAATGTTCAAAGTATTGCCCATCGGAAGCTACAATGTTTGCCCATATTTCTGGCAGTTTGTGGATCCCATCCCAAAAGAACTTCTCTGGCTTGGAGGTCAAGAAAAAATCGAGCCAATTTCTGATACACTGTTCTGAAGTGAAGCGTACTCCGGTGAGGGCATTCTGCATTGATCTGAACAAGTGTTAATCGGAAGGTGCTATGTCTGGGCTATAAGGCGGGTGAGGTAGAACTTCCCACCCCACAGAAAAATTATTGATTAGTGTCTGGTCGTCCAGTAAAATACGATGGCTTTCGGTAGCACTTTTCTTCATGTTAAAGTAATGAAGAAGAACTCCCCACAAAAACACTTTATCTGGTACAAATTTCGACATTTTCAAATGAATAAAACAAATTGTTGTTCACGCTAAAACAAATGACATCTACTGAAAACGATGCGAAATGACAGTACCTTTGAAATGAATATAGCCACAGATGAACACGACGCGAAATAATACTAGTAGTACTAAAATCGGGAATTTATGAGAATAAAAATGAATTAAATATATATATAAGAGTAAAAACAATTAATGGATTTTCGATAAAACGTTATTATCATTTTATTACTCTATAAAAGACAATTTTTTTTTCGAAAGCGAGAATTTAGAAGCAAATTTTTTAATTGGATACATATTTTTGAAAGAAATTAATGCAGTGATCAATTTGAAAGAAAAAAGTTGATAATAAATAATGAAAAGGAAGAAGACATATTTAGCTTAGGAGGTTAATCTGAGCAACACAAGAGTAAAGGAATTTAACAGATGGAAACATTAAAGGACATATAATTACTTTGGCAGCAGATACTCCTTATACGCCAGCTGCAGATTTATACCAGCACAATTAAGATATTAATTATAAAAAATATATTGTTATACAAAAAAGTTCTACAACGCTAGCCGATGGCAATACCGGCAACAAAAATAAAACAAAAATATATTGTGGAACAAAAAAGTTCTACAATGCCAGTCGACGTATTTACCGAAAATTTTATAAACAAAATTACTTTGGAGGAAGAATTCTCTGAAGCACCAGCCGAAGAAAATACCGGCATGAATAAAAAATTGGAAATTGGAAAAAATAAGAAATAAGGTAAATCAAATACATTCCTCAATAAACATGAATTTACCTTTTAGAACGGATATTCGTGCGAAAATAAGAACCTCGGTAAATACTCCAATTTGGAGTAAAGAGCATCAGTATCCTTTGGCGTCAAATGCGTTTGTGAATAAAGAAATCGATAATATTTTAAAAAACTAATTTTACGAACAAGTAGTCTCCAATCTGGGTGGTACCAAAAAGGGGTATCAATGATGATGGCACAGCAAAATTAAGAATGGTAGTGGATTTCAAAAAACTAAATGAAATTACTTTTTCGGATAAATATCCGATACCAGATACAAACGTTATACTTTCAAATCTAGGAGGAGGATCACAGTATTTCTCCACAATCGATTTAGAATCAGGATTTCACCAAGTTTTAATGAAGCCTGAGGACATCGAGAAAACTGCATTTTCAGTAAATAATGGAAAATACGAATTTTTAAGAATGTCATTTGGTTTAAAGAATACACCAAGTATTTTCCAACGAGCTATGGACGATGTATTAAGAGAATTTATTGCAAAATGTCAAGTATATATTGTTGATATAACTGTTTTTTCACGCATATGAAAATATCATTAGAAAAGTCAAATTTTTTTTAAAAAGGAGTCGAATTTTTGGAATATATAGTTGCAAAAGATGTAATTAAAACGGATGCGCAAAAAGTTGAAGCGATTTGTAACTTTCCATTGCCAAAAACAGTACGACAACTTCGATATTATAGGAAATTTATCAAGGATTTCGCAGCAATAGCTAAACCATTGAACAAACATTTATCAGGAGAAAATGGATATATATCTCAGCAAATGTCAAAGAAAATTGAAGTTCGATTAGCGTAGGACGCAATTTTAACTTTTGAAAAATTTATACAATTACTAATCAACCAAGTAGAATTAATTCAACTAGACTTTAATAAAAAATTTAAATTGGCAACCGATGCCTCAAATGATTCATTAGGTGGTGTATTAAGCCAAGATGGAAAACCTATTACATATACATATCTCTAAAACATTGAATTCCACGGAAAAGAATTGTGCAACAAATGCGAAAGAACTTTACGCCATAGCATTAGCATTAAAAACTTTAAGACACTATACTTATATATAATGATTTATAAACCAGGAAAAGTCGCGGATCATCAGAAATGAACACACAGCATTCAGCAGAGAGCTCTGATAATACACAAATTCAAGAAACTAAAATACCATTGAATCAATTCAAGCAACAAATACTTCTGAGTAAAGGTCGCTTTGCCATTAACGAATCTATTGTATTAATCATTTTTATAAAATTAGGCATATTATTGAAATAAATATGATAGACATCCCATAAAAATACCTATTGCAGAGGTCCCTATACCTAAAGATATTATAGATATATTTTATGCACAATTATTAAAATTCATTACATTTTCCCTTATGTAAAGAGAATAACAATCGATAATGAACCAGGTTTTACTACGGTACAATTTAAGTCCCTGATGCAGAGACTTCAGATTGAAATTTATTTCTGCAACCCAACTCATAGCACTACAAATGGTCAGATTAAGAGGGTGCATTCAACAATAATTGAAATTTCACGATGTTTAAAACAAGAATATAATTTAATCAGCTTTTCGGAATCAGTATATAGAGCTGCTCAGCAATACAATAAAACTATACACTCGGTAACTGATTAGAAACCATTCGAAGTCGTTTATAATAAGGTCTCTAATGATAATTTACCAGACAAACTTTTATTAGGACAAACTAGGATGCTAGAAAGACAAAATAAAAATAGAGTTAACAAAACATATGTATTTATGTGAAGATGTTATATATGAAAAGATTACAGGGGAGAGAAATAAGCTAAAGCCTAGATACAAGAAACAAGTATTTAAAGAAGATTTAGTAAATAACTACAGAAGTAGAATAATACAGAAAGATAATATTAAATCTTAAATATATATTTTAATTGAAAATAACAATAAAAAATACACAACAAACTCTGAAATTTTTAAAATTATCAGTCAATTATCAGAAACAATTAAAAATGTAAACGAAAATTTACATGTTAGACTTTTAATGAAAAGGAAATATCAATTTTTAATAACTGAACTACAAAATATAAAAAAAATATATAATTGAAAATGAACACGTACGATTGACTACAACTGATTTAATGGACATTTTTAACTTTAAAGTACTACAAAATAAAGATGTAATTGTTATATATATTAAGTATCCAAAAATTATAAATGATTACAAATATTATGAAGTAAGAGCAATCACACAAGAAGACGGTAAACTAGTAATTAACAAAGAAATTGCAAAATGTAAAAAAAAAATATATAAATATTATAAGTTGTAAAAAAGAAATGATAAACACCTTTGGTAAAATTAATAATACAAATACTTGCCAATCAGATATTTTGTCCAGAAAAGAGGTAAATGTAAAAAAATTAAAGAAAAAAAATTAAGAAATACAATAAATGTAATTAAAGAAGGAGCAATATTAGTCTCTGGAATCAACACAGTTGATGGCTATGCCATAAATATAGTTTACCTTGTTACTTTTGGAAATTATACAAATGTAAACAATATAATATATGAAATTGTCGATTGCAAAATTTGGAAATATTTAAAGAACAATCATGTTAATAGTTTCGAAATTATAGAATATATTGAAACAAAGAATAAAGAACTAAAACATAAATATTTTAGCTGAATGAATGAAAGTTTTTAAACATCATTTATTTTTATGGTACATAATTGTAATTTTGTTAATAAAATACATAATTTATAAGATTGTAAAATTTAAAAAATCC